TCGGGCTCTGTGCTGATGGCTCAGAGCCCGGAGCCTGCTTCAGAGTCTGCGTCTCCCTCTCTCTGCCCCTCCCCTGCTCGCTCTCTGTCTCTTTTTCAAAAATAAATAAACATTAAGATTTTTTTTTAAGTTAAAAAAAATAACATGGAAAAGAGGAAAGACGAACGGGTGAAGCACAGGGAGGCCTTAGGGGCAGTGAAACTATTCTGTAAGACACACGATGGTAGACACGTGTCATTATACATTTATCAAAACCGTAGAATGTACAATACAAAGAGCGACCCCTCCTGCAAACTGTGGGCTTTAGTCAATCATAAACTATCAGTGTCTCCTCATCAGTGGTAACAAGCGTGCCACACCCACGCGCAAGGTTAACAATGGGGGAAACTGAGGCAGGGGGAGAAGGAGTATATGGGAACTGTCTACACTTTCTGCTCAATTATTCTGTAAACTTAAAACCACTCTTAATGGTAAAATCTATTATACCTCTTTTATTTTTTTTTAAATGTTTATTTATTTTTGAGCGAGCGAGAGAGAGAGGGAGAGAGAGAGCACAAGTAGGGGAGGTGCACAGAGAGAGGGGGACAGAGGATCCGAAGCGGGCTCTGCACTGACAGTCGCAAGACTAATGCGGGGCTCGAACTCACGAACAGTGAGATCACAACCTGAGCCAACGTCGGACGCTTAACTGACTGAGCCACCCAGGCGCCTGCCTATTATATATTTATTCAATGTAAATGGTAAAGGGGATGGTGTGTTGGGTGTCACAAACTTACTGGGGGGTTCGTGGAATCGCACACCAGTCCCTCCCCCTTCCTGAGCATCCCTTGGGGCTGCGGGCACCTGCGTCCTCTGCAGAGCTTTGTCAGGGGACACACTGCGGCGGGCGGGCGGGCTGACTGTGGTCAGAGAGGCTGTTGTTTGCATCCTAGCGCCTCTGTGTCTCAGTGTCTCTCCGGAGGCATCACTCCCCTCTCCTGGCGAACTGCAGGGCGGCTCAATGGAAGAGAGGCAAAAGCCCGGGAATGTGGGGGGAGCTGGGGAGTCTGGTCAATAAAGCAAAGAAGAACCATCTGTGGCTAAAAGGATGTAAAAGACCAATCTTACTCTGTACACGGAAGAACAGGGAACCCAAAGGGCACTTGTAAACATCTGTGGGAGCAAGCCACGATAGATTTCTCCTTGCTGTTTGAGCAACAGGATGCAGAGCCCGGAACGCACTCCTAATTGTGGGCCATGGGGTTCCTCGACCTCTCTGAGCCTCATGGTTCATCTGCGCAATGGCCCTTTGGTACTGGCCTCACAGAGCTGCCTTAAGAATGAAATGAGGTTGGGGCGCCTGGGTGGCGCAGTCGGTTAAGCGTCCGACTTCAGCCAGGTCACGATCTCGCGGTCCGGGAGTTCGAGCCCCGCGTCAGGCTCTGGGCTGATGGCTCGGAGCCTGGGGCCTGTTTCCGATTCTGTGTCTCCCTCTCTCTCTGCCCCTCCCCCGTTCATGCTCTGTCTCTCTCTGTCTCAAAAATAAATAAACGTTGAAAAAAAAAAAATTTAAAAAAAAAAAAAAGAATGAAATGAGGTAATCCAGGAGAAATGTCTGGTGGAGACCGGCACTCTCAACTGTGACTTTCCTTCTCCCTCGCAGTTTTGCTTTAAGCACAATGAACAGGCAGCATTCCAGATCAGGAAGGAGAAGGGTTGGGCGTTCTGGAAACTTCCTTTGCCTCCCCCAACACTGTCTCCACCGGCAGCAGAAATGAGTCTGCCTTCCCAGAAGCACACAAATCCTCAGTAAGATTACACTCCACGAAACCGTCACCCCCCCCACCCCTCGGGCACAGGGGACGTATGGAAATTTACTCTTCCCTGTCTGGTAAGGCTCTGTGCCAAGGAGCCGGCCCTGTCTGTGGAAAGCTCCACCCGACCACGTTCAACAGGATGAGTTCTGAATTTCACCCGCCTCTTCAGAGCTGGGAGCTACTGACTTCGCAAATCATCGTCAGTCTCGTGTTTGACAAGAGGAAAGAAAATCCAGGCAAAGTTGTCAGCGCTCTAGCAGTCGACCCCGTTCCCTCCGAAGGACAATCTGAAATCTGTTTGTCATCCGTGTTTCCCTCGTTGGCATCTGGTGGTATTTCGCCTTGACTTGGCGCCCATTTTGGGTTTGCCGTGCAGGCCTAGAATCTTCTCACGGCGCTTGAGGCTTCACGCCATGTGGTCTACACAGCCCTCGTTCCCCAGCACTGCTGAGTTCCTGCCCGTGCTGGATACCTACCCACTCACCACACCCTAGGTGAGTTCATCAATCTCGCCATGCTACCTTCTACCTGCCCGTCCTTACTTAGCAGGTCAGGCATTCAGGTCTTAAGTGAGATCCTTGGAGAACAGAGATGAAGTTCAGTGCCTACCTGGAGGACCCACTACCGTATCTGAAGCCCTTTCACATGTACGACCTCCCTGGAGCCTTACGTAACTTTGGAAGTTGGGTGAAATCGTTCCCATTTTATAGAGGAGAAAGCTGAGACTCAGAAGCGAAGGGTTTTATGAATGAGACTCAGACAATGAATGGCAGAGCTGGCCCTCAGCTCTTCAGATTCCCAGGCCAGCGTGTCCACCGCTGGCCATGGCTGTTTGACAAATACCCACCACTGGTGGGGGCTGGACGCGGAGGAAGAGGCAGATGATGAAAGTGTCCGGGCCTCACCTCTGCCCTGGGTGCTGGTGGGGGAAGTGGAGGGTGTAACCAGGGTGACAAACGGTTGTGTGACTGGATAGGGGACAGGATGACATTCCCAAGTGAGGCTGGCATTCAAGAGGAAACAGGAAGCATTACTGACACCCGCCCTCACGCGGAGTCAAATGGCTTCCCTGTGGGCCCAGGACCTATAATCCATTTCTATCCTTTTCTAGAGGCAAGTCAATCTCAGTGGTGAATCCTGGCTCTGTTGTTTCTTAACTATCGATATTAAACAAGGGTTTGACCTTCTGGGACCTCAACACCCACCCACCCACCCACCCACACACACACACACCAGAAGATAAAGCACGTAATGGACTTGGAACAGCTTCAGCACAAAGTAAGTTCAGTCGGTGGCAACAGGGCGTCAGCATCACTGGAGGGGTCTCATGGTGTGCTGGACATTCCACTGAGAGCTCACCAGGCTGGAGGAGGGCCGGGGACCAGGAAGGGACAGATGGGGCTCTGAGAAGAAGGGGTTGGACACACACATAGAGTTGGCCTCGGCTCAGGGGTCAGCAGCCACACCAGCAACTCACCAGAACTCAGGAAGCCGAAGACACCCACTCGGGAGCCGGCAGTGACGACGATGAGGTTGCCAATGGCGGCCAGGAAGGAGCCGTCGATGGCCAGCTGCCCTTCACTCCCCCTGCCCTCCACGGTGTTGTGGAAAAGCACCAGCACGGACGCGTTGGGGGCCTGTGGGGAGCGGACAAATGTAAGGCGACACGTTGGCCCCTTCTCAGCCGGCAGAGCTTGGTGAGGGCACCTTTCCGAAGAAAGTGCCAGATTCTGAGCCTACACGTGACTCTTCCTGGCAACTCTGCCTCGTAAGCACACTGAGTCCCACGTTACCGGCTGAGCTGTGTCCCCCCAAAACTCACAGCTTGAATCCCTGACCCCCATGACCTCAGAATGTGACTATATTTGGAGAGGGTCCTATAAGGCAGTGATTAAGCTAGTGGGCCCTAAGCCAATATGACTGGTAGCCTCAGAAGAAGGGGACGTTTAGGGGCGCCTGGGTGGCTCAGTCAGTTGAGCGTCTGACTTCGGCTCAGGTCATGGTCTCGCGGTTTGTGAGTTCAAGCCCCGCGTTGGGCTCTGTGCTAACAAACAGCTCAGAGCCTGGAGGCTGCTTCAGATTCTGTGTGTGTGTGTGTGTGTGTGTGTGTGTGTGTGTGTGTGTCTTGTCCTCCCCTCCTCATGCTCTGTCTCTCTCTGTCTCTCAAAAATAAATGTTAAAAAAAAAAGAGGGGACATTTGGATGGAGACACACAGAAGAGATGCCATGTGGAGACACAGGGAGGAGATGACCATCCACTGGCTGAGGAGAGCAGCCTCAGAAGCCAGCAACCCTGCCGGCCCCTTGGTCTTGGATCCCCGGCCTTCAGAATCGTGAGAAAATAGATCTCTCTTTACGTCTCCCGGCCAGTGCTGTCTTACAGCATCACCAGTGCACTAATCGGCCTGATGTCACCCGATAAGCTGTTTTGAAACGTGAGCAGGTGGCGGAAACGGCAGCCCACGGCAGACCGGGAGCCCATCGGCTGGAGCTATGCAGTCCTCCAGCCCCTCGGTTCTCGCCCCTAGTTCATTCCGGAAGGCCCTCTGGGTCCTCCCCGGTGAGCCTCTTTAGTTTGGCCAGCGTGTCCCTGAATCCCACCCTGGGGGTACACAGCCACCTTCTATCATGCGCCGAGAGCAAGGCACTGGGCTCAGCACCTACATGTGTTCCTTATTCAGTCCTCAAGCTCCAGGAGCATGCGGATCGTTACCGTGCCCACTTTACAGATGAGAAGGCAGAGGCCTGGCGATCTTACATAGCTCGTCTGAGATCACACAGTGACGGAGGGAGTGGCAAGGCAGGACTTAAACCCAAGCTGACCCTTCTGTTAGAATATAATGCTCCCTCTGGGGGACCCGAACTTGACTCCGGGCCGCGGTGTGTGCAGGACCCCAGGTGCGTCTTGCTCACTCAGTCCTCCCTGTGCTGTGACGGCTCCAGCCACGTGCCACGGGCTCTGACACGCATGCGTTCCCCACCAACAGCGAACACTGGTTGAGGACCCGCCCCGATGGATGGCACGCTAAGTGTGGTCACCTCGGGCGCCCCCTCACAGCTTCCGCCCCACAAGGCCGATGCTCTAATGACCCTAAGCACCTCGACTCCACGGGTGCGAACGCTGAGGCTCAGAGCGGCGAAGTCACTGTTTAAAACACGTACGGGGAGGAGGTGGCTGACCCAGAATTGCAGCCTCAGCCCCCTCCCAGCACACTCCCCTGTGACATTGTCCCATTCGTGGTCATCTCATGTCCCCCATCAGCCATCTCCTGACTCATGAGACTCCATGCAATGTTTTATTTAATTCTTGCGAGAACGTTATGAACCAGATGTTGTTTCTCTCCCACTTTCAGAACCGGTAACTGGAGCACACAGAACGTGATTGCCTTCTCTAGGCCAGTGGTACGGGGGGGGGTCAGTGGAAGTCCAGCTGGGCGCCGGACCTTACTCCGGCATCCCAGGTATGGGGTGACCAGCACCAGGCAGAGGGGACCTGCTGTCTCCCTTATCCTAGGCTCTGTGTTCTTAGTGGTGCAGCCCACGGGAGCTTTGACGTCTGAGAGGCCTCATGACCAAGCTTACTCAGACCATCTTGCTGACGTCAAACGTCCAAAGGGCAGTGGAATCTCACTGCTAGCGGGCTAGGGGACCAGGACGCTGTAGCGTGGTCACCGGCACCATGGCGTCTATCGACACTGGGCTGGCGTCACCAGAAACTCATGTTTCCTAAACCTTATCAGTTCCTTTTTCTCTCGTGCACTCTGACCCTTCCCCCCAAAACAGGAAACTCAAACATTCAACACCAGGGTCATGGCTGCTTCTCAGGCAGATTCAGGCTTCAAATCGGGACAGAACCAGAGTCAGGGTCGCAGCGCCAAGCCTTTCCCTCCAGGACTGCCCCGAACAACACTC